ATTCCTATAAGGCAGTACAAAAATCAATGACAGTATATAAAACTGAGGAACTATAAAAGGATGGCTGCTTCACTGAGGAGACCATTGAGAAGAGGCACAATGATTTATTCTAAAAATCAGAACATTTACTGTAACCAAGAAGTTAATTCAGTAAGTTTTCCATAAAATCTTATTGAACAATTAAATAGGATATGACTTATCAATAATATTCCATAAAGGCCAGAACTTTCAATGAATTTTAGAAACAACTAGACATGTTCTCACAGAGCCAGAGGGTTGAAAAATACAGTGCCAATGACAAATGAGAGCAATGGAGTTGAGATAAAATTAATGAGGACGGGCTTGCTGCAGGCCCTTTTCTGTCCTGCATTTCCTTTCAGCAGTGTCATTATAACCTATCCCAAAGATAGCATAGTCTTATCAAAAAAGTCTCATATCCTATTTCCATGGATACACAGCAGACTACCAGTGTCTTTTTTAGTTGCTACTCTGAAACTCCACTAAACCTTTCATGAATGCTGATGCTGAAATTCTGAAAAGATAGGAGACTGACTTTAAGCTTTTAAATAATTTGGTTTAGCTTCACTGAAGCAAAAATATAAGAGCTCTAAAGTTCCTTGTGAGTTCGTTCACTTCTATCTTGACATTGTACAGAAATGTGATAGAAAACTCTGTTTAGAAGTTATTGTGCCCAGGGAACATACTAGTTGACCTACAAAAGTTTCTTTCAGCACTATATGATTTTTGATAACTGCGATTTGAAAAGTATGTAGCTGAATTTATTAATAGACTCAGAAAATATTTATGAGCACCTATTTAGAACAAGAGTGTGTATTGGTGCTGTAGGTCAGGCAAACACAGTGTACAGGCACTTCCCCATCAGTGTGCCCTTCTGGAAATCATGTGTGTGGTGTCATTGACCAGAGATGTTCAGAAAATGTTTCTTCTGGGTAACACAATGAAAGAAATGTGTTACAAGTTTTAGGGTGAAGATCTTTTCTCTGCATCATTCAGTTTCTCTAGGGCAACATCTTTTCTCTCTAGCCTGGCCTTGCTGAGCTGGGGAGTGTAATTTGCCTGGAAGGCAGAGTCTTCCTTGAAGGTAATAAGGGAGGTTGCTGAGGGTTCACATATACTAATGCACAAAATATTTTTTAGCCCCTGTACTCTTCATTTCCTCGCCCTGTGCTTGGGAAGTGAGTCTATTTGCTTCTTTTTCTTTATAGAGTAAAACATCCCAAATCCTGCAGCATTGATGAGAAGAAGCAGTTGTCCCCTGCATATGCTGTCTCATTGATGAGGTAAGGAAGGGTCCTGAGGGCCAAAGAGACCGCAGATAGCTCTCTGAGCCCCCTCCGAACCCGCTCCGAGCCACCCGCTCGCATGTCCTACGTTGCCCTTCTGAGATCCTCATCTGATCTGCAGAGCTTGTCAGCTTACTTCTTGAAGCTATTTGCCTATATAGGCACATAGGATTAATTTTTTTTAACTCACTGGTCAGTTATCACTTTTCCATCTTCTTTCCAAAACTTGGCTAAAAACTTTCATTCACTGCCACTTCCCATCCCCCATTCCAGTCCTCTTCCCTGATTAACAGCTGACTTTTTTTTAACTCTCATTTTCCACTTTTAGGGAAGGGAGATAACATCAATATACCTCATTTAGTCACTTATACATAATCAATATTTAACAATTTAAATGACTAGTAGATAATTCTGAAGAATTTTGTGAAATGCTTTCTTTCTACCTTAGGCATGAGTTAGGAAAAACTTTTTTACCTCTCCCCTTTGTTTCCCTACAACAAACAGATTTGGTTTTCTACATGCTTTTTTTTTTTTCTTTTTTCTTTTAATTTGTATTTGCTATCATAATTAACATTTTATTCTTGGAGAGGAATTGTTGTTGTTCACTTTTGTGGAAAGGGGAAATTCCATGTTGAAGGCTGAAATGAAGAAAGCTCCTTCCCCATCCCACTGACCAAAGAGTACAGCTGTCATAGTGTTTCCTGTGAAGCTATGCTTCAGGTATGGTCTTGCCCCTCAGTCTCCACATCTGCACACACAGGGGTCAGGATATGACTGCCTAACTATTTGATGCCAAGTATCCTTCTATCAATGTGTGTGTGTATGCACACATGTGAGTTGATGCACACACAGGTATAAGTCACATGCTACAGGCTACAGATTCCTCTTGCATATCAAAAACAGAGGTAGAAAAAATAAAAGACTAAGAATTGATAGAAAACATAGGGCTGTTCTAGCACCTCCCCCCTCTGACCAGCACAACAGGCATAAATCCCAGTTTCAAATCATATGTGCTTTCAAGAACTAACAAAGAGATCAAGGTAGGCCCTGAACTGATGCCCCATGTTAAATCTTAGAGGATAAGATATTTCAAACAATAGAAAGGGAAGACCATAAGACATTCTCTAGTAGCATCATGGTAGTAACATCTGAGGAAGAAATCTCTAGAGAGGTAGTATTGTGTCGTGGTTGAGGGAACTGATTATTTCCCAGTCCAAACTGTATAATATGGTGGGGCAGGTGATGATAAACTTGGTATTCTATAGGCTGACAAGACATGAAAGTTATTCTGGAAAACAGTATTACAGGGAACAGAGAAGCTGATGTAGTAGTTCAGAAGTAGGATATTAAATGTGAATTTCCCCATTTTGTAAGGTTAAATGCATCTGATAAAGTTTACTGGTTACAATAAAGAAACAAAAGAGCCTTCCATATCAAATAATGGTGGGTGAACTGATCCAGGAAAGATACCGTATCTGGAATGGCTGTTCGAATTATCCTCCCTATTTGATTTTCTGTAATACATGTTTTTTTTCTCTCCAAAATGCATCTGACATTTTGTATAGTTAAAGTTGAGATGTAATAAGTATCAAAACACTTGAATTCTTCAAAAAGTTGGTTACTAATGATGTTAAATGGAGGTGCAGGGGATAGTGCCAAAGGCTGTTACAGCTTTACCCACCAAAATATCTCTAATGCAGGAATTCATTTGGTAGCCACATATATCTGTCTCAAGATTACAATGTTTCCTGATCTCTATAATTACTGTAGCTCTTTTGGCTTTTCAGATATTAAAGATAATTCATTATTATTTAAAAATACATAAGTTCTTTATGGGGTATTTACTTTTTCAGATTATACTCTCCCTGATAAAGAGATAGGATACCTTCTGGGGAAGATTTATAGCAGAAACTGTGGCTGCATTTCTTAGGTTGACCTACCCTCTTCCCTCCATCAATGAATTCTAGTTCTAATAACTAGTTTAGATGTGGCAGCCAGTGGGAAAACATGGATTCCTACTGTGATAACTAGAGCCAAGTTTCTGCTTCCAGTCATAGAAATGTTTCTTATTACACGTATCGAGCAACACCCTAGAATGTTACCCATCTATTTCGTTTTAAGTGATAAACATAATCACATAGATTAAGTAATAATCCTGTAGCCCTGAATTGCATTAAAGGTACCAACATGACCTCAAATATGTTGTATAGATATAAGAATTACTTATTTTCTAGTCTTTCTACTGAATAATACTATAAACAAAACAACAATGAGCCTCTTCTACATGTAAATTGATATTTCGAAATACTATTTTTTAAGTAGGAGGACACAGCTCTTCAGAAATTCTTAATACCATGATTAAAGAAGGAAATATCCGCAATTAACCTTGAGCTATCATTCAGTTTTATTATTTCTTGACTGTATAGTTACCATTACTACACTGTTGCTCTCCTGTTCCACCTGCCAACCAAAAACTCTACACCGGATAAACATACTATATACTTTCTATGAGAGTAAAATTCCTCTCAATCATGTGAAATATTTCAAATCTCATCGACGTGGAAATAATTACTCATTTGCACTGTTGAGAAATATACATATGGCTGACTTTGAATATCACAAAGAGTATTACCAACACTATCAAAAATATCCTTTAGGAAAATAACTTAAAATTGTTTTTTGCATGTGTTCATTTTGTTTGAAGATCTCTATGTTACTACACAAGTTTATGACAGGATTATTTAATTTTACTTTAATTTTTATTAATTGCTTTTTAATATTTAATTTTGGTTTATAATCATGTATTATATTTACATAGTTTCAAAATCACATCTAAAACAAAAAAAATAGCAAGTTAAATATCTGGAAACAATCTGCAATATTTAGAGAAAATATTCTAATTCTAGCTACCATATTGCTATCATCCTGTATATAAATAAAATTATTTTTCATTACTTAATGGTTTATCCTGTCATTTTTTTTTAAGTAAGGTATAATATACACATAGTGAAAATATCCTTTTTGAGAGTAAAATATTGTAAATATTAACAAGACATAATATATAATCATCACAACAGTCAAAATATAGTAACTTTTTCTAGATACCCCTTTGTCCCTTTATAGTCATACCCACAACTATCCCTGCCTCTAGCAACCACTAATGTGTGTTTTGTCTCTATAGTTTTGTCTTTTTCAGAATGCCCTAGAAGTGGAATCATATCATATGCAATCTACTGAAACAGGTTGTTTCAATTATCAGAATGCATTTGATATTATTCATTGTTGTATATATTAGAAGGACTTTTTTTTATTTTTCTGTGGCATTTCATTATAGAAATGTACCATCATTTATTTTCTTTAACAAATTAACCAGTTGAGGGACATTAAGATTATTTCCAGTTTTATAACTCTTCATTGCTACTATAAAATAAACATTAATTTTTTTAAGTTGTTTTTGCATCCTGCTACCTTGCGCAACTTAACAATTAGTTCTAATAAACTTTTGTGTGTGTGTGTATAGATTTTTAAAGATTTTCTATATGGATAATCATGCTACCTGTTCAAGAGGAAATTTTACCTATAGTTTTCTTATAACATATATAAGCAAATGCACCTATAAATGTATATTCTCCCCTACTCAAGTTATGGCATTATTATATTTTTCACAATACTTTATTAAAAATGTAATAAAGCATAAAAAAGGGCTTCACTTGTGAGTGGCACATGTAGGGCACCTTGATTGCTGTACACATGGAATCGACATCGAGAGATTTCAGAAGCATAATTTTTTTGGTATGTGGGCAGCTAGTGATCATTGGTCCTGGAGCCTGCAAAAAAAAAAAGAAAAAAAAGTAACAAAAGACTCGTTACAATATACCTTGAAAGTCACTCTTCATGGTCATATATAGAGATTATTTTTTCCTTTTATGGAATGTTGCTCCTCCAATGATTGGATGCACAATCTTCCCTTGATGTACATTTAGGTTGTCCCAAGTCTTGCGTTACATAGAGAGCTACAATCATAGCTCTGTGTACATATCTTTTTATATTTTTACCGTGCAATTTTGAGGTATTTTTATTAAAAAAATCTATATATTTCACAACTGCGTATGTGATTTTGATAGTTATTGTCATATTTTCTAAAGGGGTTATGATGTTTTGTTGGGAACTGTCCTGCCTGGCTTCAAGGACTGTAGCCTCACCAACAGGCAAGTGGGTCCCAAGGCTGAAACTGAGCAAGGAGGCTTTGGGAAAATAGGCCACTGAGGAGACAAAACCTGTCGCCCTGACAGAGGTGAAGCCCCTGCCTCCCTCTCATCACCCAGCTTGGCTCCGGAGGATGGCTGGTTAGTCAATGACAGGTAAGACCCCTTGATGGCAGGGGTAGCCTAAGACAGGCACGGTCGCATGGGGGTCATCAGGGAAGGGCTTGGGGGACATGGAGAAGGGGCAAAAAATCCTTACCCCTCGGCTTTGTCATGGTCGGAGTCTGTATTCTATCTGAGAGAAGTTTCCTTATCTCTTGGCTGCTCTGCTCCACCTGCCTGACTGGGTCAGTGAAATAATACTAAAGACAGGTATAGCCCTAAACTGGATGAGGAGGTTCTCTGGGGACAATTAGGCCTTGAAAAAGGTTGCATTAAATCCTATGAAACTTACTTTGCTAAGAATGCCCTCGAGTTAATGAGTACTGGTGTTTGGGGTCTGAGCATAGGATGTTTATTTTCCCAGGTTTTAGGGATGAATAGGCATCGCCCTGTCTCCCAGACCCTGACCTGAGGCAAATCTCTGTGTTCCTTCAATTGTTATCTATGATCTGTATCTGTTTGCTGTAAAAATATCCTTTAGGCATTGATTGACAAGCTTTGTATGCATGCTGTATACCCCTGCATATATTGTTCTCAATAAAAGTCATTCCAAGAGAAGGGCGCAAGGCATTCTCCACTGAAGAGAGTAGCCACCCCCTCTCCTGTCAGACAAATCATGTCTGGTACAGTTTATTTCTTCATCTGCAGTGGCCTGGGGGATTCTGCAGGATGGAGCTCCCCCTTCAATGTTTTGCAACCCAGCTAAAAATATATGGGAGTTTGGGTTTCAGAGTTTCTCCAAGAGACCACTATTGCATCTATAGAACTTTGTCACTTCCAAAATTGAGAAATTGTATTTCAGTGTAGTTTTTATTTTAAAATATATTTATTAAATATAATAGATGCACAGGTAGATACACAATCTTAAGTGCATAACCTATGACTTTGTAAGCCCATATAACCAACATTAATAGTACTCCAAAATATTCCAAAATTTTAAGTCTTCTCTCCTGTATCCCGCATCCCCAGAAATAGCCACTGTCTTGATATGTGGGCCATTTGAATATTCCATTTTAATAAAATTCCTGTGCAAATCTTTTGTCCGTTATTATACTGTTGCTCTTTTTTTATTGTTTTGCAAAGCTTTTTAGCGAAAATACTTTAGAAAGTATTTTTTTCAGATATATGTAATATAAATGTTTTTTTTCCATTGTTTCCCTATTAACTCTTTTAATGAGATCTTTTGGTGGATAGGACTTTTTAGTTTGTGTGATAGTTACTTCATAAGTATCTTTTTAAAAATGTTTTTGTGTACTGTTTTAGAAATCCTTGCGTATTGAACTGTCACAGAAGTATTTTCACAAGTTTCCTCCTGGAAGTTTCATTATTGCAGTGTCCATCTGGAAAAAACAATTATATTTTGCTTTTGATTCTCTTAATCCTTGAACAAGATGTATCAATATTGATTCTCTTAATCCATGGACAAAGTGTATCTCTCTATTTCTGATTTTTAAAATTTTTCAGCAATATTTTATAGGTTTTAGAATAGAGGTCTTATACATTCTTTTGTGAGATTATCAATATTTGATTTCTGTGTTATTATATACTATGTTTTTAAAAATTCAATTTCTGATAGTTTATTGTGAGTGTATCAGAACACAACTGAACTTTACATTTTGATCTTGTATTCAGCAGACTTGATCAATTCATAAGTTTGATTGTTTGCTACATTGGTTGGTCTTTTTGAAGCACAAGATTTGTAAAGATTCAAATATTATTTTGCTGCCACTACTATATTATCAAAATAATCCTTCTTTATTGGTGTATAAACATATATTTTCTAAATGCATTGTAAAGCAAATTTGTTTTTAAAATCTCTCCATAATTCCATTATTTAACTATTTTTTTAAATATTTTATTTCTTTATTTTTAGAGAAGGGAAGGGAGGGGGGGAGAAATATCAGTGTGTGTTTGCCTTTTGCACACCCCCCACTCGGGACCTGGCTCACAACCCAGGTGTATGGCCTAACTGGGAATCGAACCAGCGACTCTTTGGTTCACAAATTGGCACTCAATCCACTGAGCCACACCAGCCATGGTCATTGTTTTTCTATTAATTAACCTAGTACTTTTTAACATGGTGTCACTCATACCATGATACTTCATCTTTTTTTTTAATGAAAAAATAGAAAATGCTATATCTACAACATGTCATTCCTTCAAGAGAAATGAGTGAAAAGAACAAATCACGAATACAAAAATCTAAAAATATGTTGGATAATTCATGACCTTTTTCTTATTTTAATTACACATTACACACTATATGGCACTCAATTCAACTTAAACAATGATGAACACTTTCACAAATGAAAAGGAGCTATACTAGCAAAATCTCATTTTATACATTGATAATTTGAGATGTGTCATCTGGCTAGACTTGCAGAATGAACAACAATTAGGACTCAAGTTTCCAGCTTCTGCATAACATCTGTAATTGTCCACATATTAATACTTTAAATTTATCAGATTTCAGCATTCTTGTCACCTGTGTATGACACTTTTGTTTAAAATTAAAATAAGTGCATGACATGTTCTTTTAAACCTATAATTAAAGCATTGCTAGATGTACAGGAGAGAGGGAGAGATGCTTATTGCATCAACATGTAAATCTGCTGCCAAAGGTTAAGCACTTTCTCCACATTCACTAGTTCCTTTCATCAGGGTCTTATGGGCCTTCTCACAGGATATGTGACTTGTACTTCTGGCCTACTTGAGAGGTTGGAGATGCAGGATCATCCTCCAAGTGTATAATCCATAGCAACATAGGGAAATCCTGAGAGGTGACATAAGTACCTTTGAAATTCTTCTTTAATTATCATACAATCCTTAATAAAAAAATATTATTCAGGACTTATCATGGATCAGATAGTAGAGAACAGAGCTGGTAGGTTCTCTATTCATGTGGTGTTGATCCTCTGATGTCACCTTTTCTAACAAAAATCATACCTTTCTACAGCCATACGGTGCTTAGTGGGAAATGGAAAGCTCATCGATGAACTCCCAATGAACAGCTTTAATACCCGGATGCAAAACTAGCTATTTTGCTGTGGATATAAGCAGAGCCACATTGTAAACCTGACAAGCTCAAGGGAGACCTGCATGGCAAGATTTACAAACTCAGAGACCAAAAGTAACCACAGAGGATGGTTTGAATATAAGAATTTCTGACTAAAAGTAGGCCTGTAGCTTTCTTGACAAAAGCTAAACTTTGTTAAGTGAACCTATGTTCTTTTTGCATTCAAGATAACATATCTTTGAAATGTCAGAGAAATCTTCTTTGCCAGACCCCTTAGAGTACACCAGAGGATGAGACTAAGTACCCTCATTGTTATTTTGTTTTCCACTTACAATCTCTATGTGTTGCAAATAAATGTTAATTATTGGCTATCTTGTGCCCACCAATGTAAAAGAAGTATGTGTTTCTCTTTTAAGCCTCTTAATCCAATAGCAGAGATTTTCCCACTTTGCCTTCTCTCATTCCTTTAATCTAGCACCAGTTGATTTTATGTAAGTCCCCCTTATATTTACTCCTTTTATTTTAAGATGTAAAATAAATTGCAAAACTGCCATTCTCCAGAGCATTTTCTCAATCAGTTTAGATGCTTCCCAGAAATTGTCATCAGTTTGACTCAAATAATATCATTAAAATTCTCTACAGGTTTTGATGTTTCTTATATCGACACTGCAAAGTTGTTTTAGGGTAGTGGTATGTGAGGAAAGCAATTTGAAGCAAATCTCAGTACTGCTTCCTGTAACATGGTTAAAATGGGCCTCATTCTTTATACGAGAACATAAAACAAGTTACCAATGTTTGATGAAATAGTTGTGCTTACTAGCCAGTCTCCTTCATTGTGAGGTATACTTTCAGTGTGCGTTCCATCCCATAGCCTGATTCTTCACAAAATATACAAAATAAACATAACCCAAAAGCATGTGGTGACATTGTTTTTGAATTTATACAAATTTTTCCCTCATAATTTAAAATAAATGATAAGTATAAATAATTCCCTTTTAATAATAATAATGAAAATACAATTGCTATCTTTTACAAGAAAGCAAAGTTTTTGATGAAACCTAACCAATCAACCAACAACAAAACAACCAATAAACATCTCCCCAAACAAACCTAACAACTTCAACAGTTTAATTAAAATCAATATTAAATAGAATGTTTAGCCCAGAAACAAGTCAACTTGTTTTTCAGTGAAGAGAGGTAATAAAAAAGGTAAGGAATGTTCTCTTCTAAGATTTTTTTCCCTCAAATGCCAAGTGGTTTCTTCTTTTATATAATGTACAACTGGCTAAATATGTAAAAAGTTTTCATAAATGTAATGGTTCATTTGTTAAGCATTTCTTGAACCAAAATCTTTAAATATTGCAGCAGTTTTTGAATAAAAAGTACAATATTGGTTAAATATTAAGTAAATTTAACATTTAAAACAATTGATATTTACTAGTCTGCAC